ACTAGGTATTCTTTAGAACACCTACATAGCTACAAAAGAATATTTACTTTTGGCTTTATAGGGTAGGAATTGCAGTTAAGAGTTTGTTACATTTAAACCTAATCTATAAGTAACTATACCCTTTATTCAATAATGGGTTATCACATAAAATACCACAATATATATATGGATATATAAACGTATTTATATATTTTTACCATAAAAGATAGATATTTACATTATAAATGTTTTTCTTCTCTATGTATTGACTTTTTGGTGTCAAATGTTGCTGTGTTTGGAAAAATTGGAGTTTCATGTGCCAATGTGAAGAGAAAATGAAAACTTACTCGCAATGGCCGCAATAAATGTTTTTAAATTCAATTCGTATATGGTTATATCTAACTCCATTTTCATGGGAAGAATTCTATTTTTCTTACTTCAACTAATACATTAAAATTTTGCTAAGTTATTCAATCCAAAGGGAAACCCTTAACCGATATTTATTAGCTTATATCTTTAGATATAAAACTGAATAAATCACAAAAGATTATGAAAAATAAAAATAAAATTACTTTCTTATTCTATGACATGTTGTTACATGCAACATATTACAGGTTATAGAAACCAAAATGCAGTTAAACCCTTACATATCGAAAATATCTCCATCCCTCTCTATATGTATATTTGAGAATGTAATGTGGAATGAGTCATGAATAGTCAACATAAAGTTAAATTATTAAAATATAATAAAATGTTGTTTTGCTTTAATGCTATTATAAAATAAAAATAATGATTATAAATATCAACAATCGAGCCCTATCATTTCTAAAACTATTTATTTCCCAAACCACAGTTTTTTATCGTATTTTTCTTTAAACTTGAAAAATATCTTAAATCTTTACAGTAATTATCTATGTCTATGATGAAAATTTTCTATTTTTTGTAAATCAAATTTTTTAAAAACATAACTTTGAAATCCGATATATAAAGGCTCAACTATATAATGAATATTCTTCCGAAACAGAATGATAAAAGGCAAAACAAAATTATTCTGTTTAATTAAAAACACTGCAAATAGTTCAAGTTATTAAAGATATGGATTATTAACTTCTATTCATAGCAACCTGTTTGTGCACATCAATGGTTGGATATATATATAATTATTAGATATATATTTTTGATATTTGCAACTGGATACAGCTCCAATTACATATTATTTAATTCGTTAGGATTTATATTATTAGGTATAATAATATATACACGAGTGCCTGCCAGCATATATATAAAACACAAACGGAATTTTATGGTTACATTTAATATACTTATAAATCAGCTAATATACATACTATTATTATGGTATTAATACTATGCATGTATTATATTCTGTAATCCTTTGTAAATCTAGCCTAACAATATTTCAAATTCAAAGGATTTAATCAGGTAATTGTATGCCACCATATGCTATAACAATAAACTATGTTACTTGTAGTATTGATTTTAAACTATTGCAACATGAACAGACTACAATAGAAACAAGTTGTTAAATAAATGTATATTGATTAAGTTTAAGAAAAGTGCAAAGTCATAGAGAAGGATAAATTACACATATTGACATTTATTCATGCATGACATATACAAACTTACATACATTTAGGACATAGTTGTTAATGTACCAACAAGAAACAGTTTCTAAACTGAAAAAAGAAATTCTTTACAACATTTACACCTGTGCATAATATTATTAGTCCCCAAAAATATTTACAAAATAATAACTTTACAATTTAAATAACTCTTAAAAATTATTATAAAGTAAAAATAAGTCAAGATGAAATAAAAAAATATTATTTGTGCATAAATAATTATTCTTGTGAAAATTTTATATAAAGATTCACTTAGCAGTGAAGACATTTTTCATATTCCTAATAGATTACTTCTACAGTCCGTTCTTTGAATTATTCAGGATATCTACAAAAATGAACTTCTGGGCAAAAGTTTTGTAGAAATGTTGTATCTCTGATTGATTATTAACTTCAATAGAGAAAATTATTATTTTTTTTTAATTCATAGACTTATATTTAAGAAAGATAATAATTATTTCTTAATTAAGAATCTAAGGTCCAATTTGTGAAGAGAAAAGTACTTAGCATAATGTGAATTACTCATTTGTGTCCCAGGGCAATATCATAATCATGAGAATAATCTTATCATTGTAAGGTTCAAACTATCTTAAGAATATTTCTGACGGAATTGTTTCCATCAGTCGCTTGTCAGAGTTTTGAGGCCCCTACAGATATCTTTTTTGTCAATTTTAGTTTTGATTTTTTTTTAATCATATTTTATCTACTAGCTCATAAATTAAATGTTTTTGTACAATTTATTTAATATTTAGAATCGGTATAATTTCATCGGCTGATATTTTTATAAAATTAGTTTGTTTACATCAGAGTCAAGTTTTTCAATGCTCTTATTTCCTAATTTGGACTGGAAACTGCTTTAATATTTGGTCCATGGCATTTAATAGTGACAGTCAAGTCTGTAAAAATAGTGTTGTGAACATTTGATTCCTGAGGATTTATGGATAACGGACATATTCCATGCATTTCAAGCAGAATTAGAGATTATAAACAGATTGGTGAAGCAGCTACAAGATATTTAATCCTTTAGGACAATTCTGAAGCTCCATATCAAGACAAATTCAAAGGATAAAGGTTTAAAATGAAGTTTTTCCTATGTTTCAATAATTTTGAACTTATATATAAAGGAATATGTTGAAACTTAATTTAAATTAAAATTGATTCACACATATATTATTTTTCAATAATCAAAAAAATATTTTGAGACACAAATTTATTCAGTTTATTTCAACATAGTTTTTGGTTTAGAGAAAAGTTTATGAAGTAGTTTGATTATTTTTATAAAATTCTACCAGTGGTACAATCAATAATATATTTTATATACAGATAATTCATTTACTATAAACATTATAACAATATTTTTAGCATTTAGTGATCCTTCACAATACTTGAGCCCATTAGTTTTATATTTGCCAAAAACATTAAAAAATTCATATTAAATCTAAGAATGAACTGTGTTTTTATTGATTAAAAAATAAACCTACTAAGGATAATAAAAAACAATACAATAATTGACAACTTTTGAATTAACATCAGGCTGAGATATGTGCTATGTATAGGAAAATGTCTTGAAATTCTCTATTTTATTCTTATATAAATTAATGGAAGATCGAGAAATAGTAGATCAATGTACAGCAAAAGTCTTAAATATTATTGTTTGAAATATTAATTAAAGTATAAAAGTGATTTTTTTAAAACTTCATTTTGCATTCATAATAGAAAAAAAAATAAAAAGATCCAGAAATGAAAACACAAAACAATGTGAGCTACTCATTTGAGTAAACCATAATTTTAAACTCAATTAAAAGCGATATAATTTTTTCTAACCATTTAACATAATTAAAATAATATTTTTTAAGAATGGGAAAAAGGTGATGGCCAATAAAATTATTGAACAACCAGCCCTTGTTTTCAATTCATATTCATCATTGATAACAATATTCTCTTAAAGTACAACTTGGTGTAAAATCATTAGTCTAGTTAAAAAAAATTCAACGGTCTGGAATGTAGATTCAGGAATCCTACAAAGGATAATTAAGGCAAACTCAGTCTACTACCGGATATATAATACTGTTTTTGGGAAGCGAGAGGTGGGTAGAAGCGTAAAACTACACATCTTTAATAAGTCAGTGTACCTGCCTGTACTCCTTCATGGAGCTGAAAGCTGGACACTTACAGATAAAAGGAAAGCAGAGTGGCAGCTACAGCAGATGAGGTTTCTCTAAAGAATTGTGGGGAGAACAAGAAGATACTGCATCCACATTGAGACGATCAGAGAGGAATTGAGAGTAGTCTTGGTGAATGAGATCCTAGATGCTCATCAACTGAACTGGTTTGGTCATGTCGTCAGAATGGAAGATTACAGAGATCCATTGAAAACTATGGATTATGCCCCTGATGGTAGAAGGCCTCGAGGCCGACCAAGGATGTCTTACCTGGAATACATTGATCGTTTGTCCAAAAGAAAAAGAAAAGATCTCCATTGAGCCATAAATCTGACAAGAAACAGAGAAGAGTGGCAATCCTGGTTAAACACTCCCCTATGCTGATAGGCACAACAGGGTAATGCAAAAGAATAAGAAGGTAATAAGAACCACTACAACATATCAATTGTGACCCATTTCACAAACATGGTTGTATCCTAAGTTATAGGAACACAGAAAGAGGGATAATGAAATAATGGTATTTATTATACACTATAATCAGGTTTATACTATTATACTATTGATTTATTTTTTGCAATAATTTTAAATAAATTAAATATTGAAGCTTAATTGTATATACTAGATCAGTTCATGTGTAACTGAAGGAAAAAGAAATTCCTTTGCCAAGAGTTAAAAATTGTAATGAAATCAAAGGAGCTACACAAAATATAGTGATAATTTCTATGTTAATAAACAATATATGAAATCTGGTAGACATTAAAGTATCACATGAAATAATTTCAGTGACTAATTTTTCTAATGGAAAGACTCTATACAAAGTAAGGAGGACTAATTACACCAATCTCTATCTTATGAAAAGTTCATAATGCTAACCATTCATTTGTACTTATACAGGCACAGGTAATAAATGAAAAGTAAAAAAGTACTTCTGAAAATTGATAATGATTATCATGCATTATCTATTCGAATATTAATTTTATTTCGTTGATGCTGTTTCCATTTAATCATAATGACCAAAGCATCTAAATACCATTTCTGATTTACTTCAGTATAATCAATGATTCTGCATGAAATAATTTTTAGGGACATGTGGAATCAGATACAAAATAAAACTGAATATAAATCAATTAAGAACACTGTCCATTAAAAATGAAATAAAAATTGTTTTGCATATATATTTTTTTCAAATTAACATTATCTTGCTAAGAATCTATGCCATTTTCGACAATATACATTTATTTAGTAGATATCTACTAACTTTTTATTACATAATTCATAATCTTAGTATGATTTTAAGTTATATTTTACTGACTGTTGCAAATAGATTACTAAGGTTGGTGAATGACCTTAATATAAGATATTTAGGACGTTTAAGGAGAATCATTAGAATCAGAGCCGAGAGTGTGGATAGGAAAGAGAGGATACCAGCCGAGGGTCAGCTGAGATAATGCTAGGTTTTCAAGGCCAACCTCGGCTCCACCAAGACCAACATTTGACTCGAAACCTTTAGATTTGGACCAAAGCATAACAAGAAGAGACCTGCCTGTTATGTCACATGCAGCATACCGTAATGTCTGGCGAAATTGTGGTGTAAGAGAGTGTCGAGCAACTCGAGTTTTTCTTTTTTGTAGCCAACGTTCACCTTCTCGAAGATAAGTTTTCACATAAGTATCTAAACATAAAGAAACAAAACAAAGTAATATAATTTTTTAAGTTCAAATTTAACCTGAAAAGTAATAATTATTAATTTGAAAGTCTCTTAAAAAAAATGTTGAGTTAAGTACACACATTTTTTTTTTTTTTCTGTTGGCATTACAGACCATGTAGATCTTTCGCCATCTTAACAAGCCTGCTCCATTTCTGCCTGTCTTAGGCTATTTCTTTCCATTTATCTGCACGCAGCTCTGTTGTATCTTTGTTGATTCTATCTATCTCTCTGCTTTTTGGCCTTCCACATGGTCTTTTGCCTTCTATTGAGGCATTCATTGTTACGTAGAGGTTTCCAGATAGATTGCTACGAGCTACATGCTTCGCCCATCTTAACCTCTGTGCCTTCATACACCATGGGGTATTGATTGACCAGTTTCTGTAAGTAGTTCTTCTCCATGTGTTAGTACTCTGATCCCAGATCACTCCGGTTATCGTGTGTTGGATTTTCCTCTCAAATATTCCAATAATTTTTTCTAGGGTGCTGGTTAATGTATAGGTCACACAGCCATATATTAGAACTGGCTTTATTATAGCATTCTACACCCTTAGTTTGAAATTTCTTGAGATTTTTCGGGATTTCAGTACCTTTGAGAGGGAGAAGAAAGCTCTGTTTGAGCTAGTTATAGGCGGGTCTATTTCTGCCCATTGGTCATTCATTGAGGTTATTGTAGGGCTGAAGTAATTGATTTTTTCTACTCTCGGGAATGATTTTCCTTCTAAGAAGATCCTGTTATTGGGGTGGAATTTTCGGCTTTTTATCATATATTTTGTTTTGTATTCATTTACTGGTAGGCCGATCTGCTCTGCCTATTGTAGCGAGTTTCTCATTGTCTTCCTGATTACTTCCATGGACAGCTATATCATTGGCGTATCCAAGGATTTTATGATTCATTCCGATGTGGACTCCTCCATTTTCCTGTGATGTTGCTCTTATTACCTTCTCCAGGACTAAGTTGAAGAACATCGGTGTTAGTCCATCTCCCTGCCATAAGCCCGTTCGAACTTTAAAGCCTTCAGATACTTCTCCTCATATTAGGACTCTACATTTGGGGTCATTTGTACATGTCTTTTTCAATTTGACCAACTTACCGGGAACTCCTAGTTCATTCATGATTTTCCAAAGACAGCTCCTGTCCACAGAATCATAGGCTGCTTTGAAATCGACAAATAGAGCGTGGACGTCCCGAGCTATTTTCCATCTATTTTTAGGATGAAGATCTGGTCAAGCGTGCTCCTCCCTTATCTGAATCCAGCTTGGTGGTTGTCTATTATATTCTCGTAATACGAACATATCTGGTTTAGTAGGATATTGGACATTATCTTGTAGACCATCAGAAGGAGGAAGTACATATAAATATGTACATACATATGTTTTAATTCAGAAAAAGTAATTTACATAATTGTGCTGTAACTAAAATTGAGATAACTATGATAAAAATGAGCAGTGCTTAACTGGATCAATACAGTATATTGCCTGAGATCAGTAAGGTCTGCCAGCCTCACACAAAACAGGCATAGGAATGATGTCCTATCTTAAACAACCAAGGAATGAAATGCTAATATAAGTATTTACCTTTTACCATACCAATTAAAAAAGAAAAGAAAATTCCTTCTGGGTTCTCTCACTTCATCCATTCATCAAACATGTTCAAACCCCTTTAACTATCTATTTCCCATGATTGTATTCAATGGAGGCACCTCTAACTACTCTCTAATTCTATCGTTCCTGATGCAGTTTCCTGTTGTCTTTCCTGCTGTTCTATGCAAAAACTTCATCTCAGTGCCAGTGATCCAGCTGACATGCCTGTCGAGCATCACCCAGCTCTCGTTGCTATATGTAAGGACTGGTAGGTAGCCTTATGTATGTGCATCTTAACATAACTCCGTATATCATGGTATCCTATTATGCCATTGTTGATCTGGTAGTACACCTGGTTCACTTTAAAAATCCTATTTGGTATTTCTTGGTCATTTCTGACCCCTCTAATAAGAGAGAATGATGTGGATTCTTTGCCATTAATCCTTATTACTCCTTAGCACAAGTGGATCTATGGGAGGGGGAAGGGAGAAGGGAGGAAAGGAAGGGGCTTTTGGGATGAAGTTCCTCTCCCAAAATGGTAAAATATAACCATGTTTTATGAAAAAAAAAGTATTTCTAAAAGTATTATTGTTCATCTAATTACATTTAATATAACTTCAAGAATCACTTAAACACAATTTCATATAGATAGTTAGTTTCTTTCTTTCTTCCGAAGTAATTATTCTAATATATACATACAAAAAAAATCTTAAGGGCTGAAGCCCCCCAAAATGAAATTCTGGATCCGTTAGTACTCCTTAGGAATTTTCTTGCAATCTCATATACCCATATGGCTTGAAACTGTTATTGAATTGCTTTATGGAACTCTTCAACACAAATTTCAGGAATTCTAGTGCAATTCCATCTCTTCCCGCTGTTTTATTTATTTTTATCTTCTCAAAAGCATATTCCACTTCATCTTCTTCTATAAGCTCTTGATTTTCTTCGAATTTAGGTTATGCATGATGCATTGGTGTACCACATTCTTCAAAGAATGTCAATCTTAGTATTGACGCCTCCACTGGTCTAAAATATTCAATTGGCAGCTACTATATTACCTTTTTCGTGTTTTATATTCCTGATAATATTTTTTAGATACATATTTTGAAAAAGAAAACATTGTCCAAGTTCATGGGAATCACATGGGGACCAAAAAATTACACCCCACTTTATTCAAAGAAAAAACAAAGTTTTGCCTTGTTTATTTCTAATATTAATATCGCACAAAACAAAGTATGGTAAAAATGGCACAGCTAAATGCAGCAAAGAAATGCCACGAGTAAAACGAAGTGACATCAAAAAGGCTACTCCGCCAGTTCAGGAGTATTTACTGAACTGATATTATCCTTGGTATTGACACCTTGGTTTATTAGAGAATGTGTTCAGTTGATAGATTACACCATTAATGATTGCAACCAAAGGAATGTATATCTTGGGGTTTGTGCCTTGGATTAGGAAAATGGAAGCTAAAATTGGGTGTTTGGGTAGAGCAAATCAAGTATGGGTTGTGGTTCTTCGACTGCAGTAATAACTGAGACAGGGCTACCTAAAGAAATCTTACCCAATTTTAACTTCCTTTTCTTCTAGAGCAAGGCTCAAAGCTCCAAGCCATGGACTACTATTGTTGGACTCATTAACATTCATCATTTTTCAACTGAACATAATCCTTACAAAACCGAGTTAACTATCTTTTGTGTTCAGCAAAAACTCTTTAACTGACACGCAGTGTTAAGGTTCATTTTACTAACATGCTGGAATTTTTGGTAGCAATAATTTTAACATGCAATTTAGAATATCTTAAAACACTCTAAAACAAATATAGAAGCTAAATTTCACACTTTGTTCATTTATGTAAAAAAGCATGTTTTATTTCTTAATATTTTTTAAGATTTTCAATCAATATAAATGGTGCGAAAAGGTACTAAAACAATACAAAATAATTTTGCACAAAAATTTTCATATCATTTGATTCAGTTGTTTATGATGTAGCCCAGACAAAAGCCAACAAAAACAAGAATCTAGCTGGAAAAATGATATTAATAATTTATAAAAAAATTAAATATGAAACTGGCATTTATATTGATTTATAAACATAAACTAATCAATGATTTACAATAAACTAAATGACATTTATAATAAAACTAGAAGTTTAATATAAAGAAATTTATACCAAACTAAATAAATTTAAAACAAATATTTCTTCTATTCTGTTTAAAATTTTCTGGTTACTAATAATTTCATCAATGTAAACTATAAGCCTAAGATGGGATACCTGGTGGTTCTCCTTTAATTCCTCTGGCAGAGATCACCTCCACTTCTAATTGGCCTTTAGTCACTAAAAGACTTAGTTTAATCTCAGCTTGACCACCTGCAATTGGTAATAAAATTAATACTAATCAACTTACATCCTCAAGATTATGATGAAACATACAACAGTTCAATAGTGCCTGGCATAAATTTGTATAAAGAAATCTAAATAAGATGATGGACTATAGCTATTTGTTTTTAAAATAAAAGCTAGGAATAATATTTGCTACAAAAAATATGTAATAAAAATATCTAAAAATCACTAAGCTTCAAAAACGAGAGACAAAAAAATGTCTGCTTAATGTTAAACTATACAGAGAAAATATCTCATGGTGAAAAGTTACATTATACAATAGTAATAATGAAAATTGGAAGTCGCTATTTTTAGTTATTTATGTTATTATTATTTTTTTTTTTGTATTAAAACAATTTATTTTCAGATAGTGCCTGATTCTCTGGTTAGTGACTGTCGGGATGGTGGGTTAATGTGAAAATAACATAAATAATTGTCCATAAATAATATTATTTATTAAATCAATATTATTTATTGATGAATTTAAGCATAAGTAATTTATGCTTGAAAAAACAAACTCTAAATAAGCAATCAAATTTCTACAGCAAGATTGGAATATAACATACTAATACTGAAAATTTAGTTTTATTATCATGAAGAGATTGTGTGACACATTGGATTTTAATCAAGTTAATAACATACTTCATGAGAATATTAAATATATTATCACTTTGGGAGTTATAATATGAATTCTATGGCTCATTTATTCACTTAATGTTTTTAAAGTATCATAACAAAGGCACAAAAAAAAAAAAAAAAAAAAAAAAGAAATGAATTAAATAATGAGACTTTCTTCAATTTGAGTAAGGTTATATTTTTAAGAAAATAAAGTAGTTGTTATCATGTTACCAATGGTTGCAGCAATGCTCATGAATGAAGGATCGATTAATTGGTGTACCACACAAAATGAAATACAAATAATTTACAGGATTATTCTAAGTAAGATGAGATTTGTCATAATGTTATAAAATAAAAATAAATAAATAAACATTATATTGATAGTTGAAAAACTAATTAAAAATAAATTGATTTGTACCTGCTTTCAGTTTGTATCCTCTGGGTTGAATTTGTCCAGGACCCAACTGCTTGACATCAGATTTTGTGCTGTAACAACATTACAGCTAAATTCACCTATATTAAAAATTACTAAATATTTTTTTCTGAAGTTGCATTTTTTCATTCCTACATTCTCCTTGAAGAATGGCAGTATGAAAATCCTAGGAATTTGAAAAATTGATTTAAGGTAAAGGATGGTAGGTAACAGCTTTTAGAATGTACCAAAAAATTACTAATTGGTTTTGAAATACTCTATAATTGGTTCTAAAAATATATAGATTTTATTATTAACCTCCATTTGTCTTCCTCATCGCTTGAATGCCCTGTTTCTAAAAACTTTTTTGCTTCAACAGCCACACTCCCCGATCCTGCAACATTTAATCGTTTAAGCTAAAGATGGGAAAAGTTAGTATACAAATATGTCTAGTTCTAATACATTTCTAAGTAAAATGATTTTTCAAAAGAATAATTTCAAAAAGTTTTTTGCTTGTTTGATGATTGTATGATTTCAAGAATTTGCTTTGGAAATAGGTTATTTTGTTGAGTAATATAATAAAATCATTTTAGATTATAGTGATAAAAGAAAAGATGCAAGATGTTTGTGTAAAAAAATTCAATCATGAAATCCACACATTTAAGGACAGAACAAGAAATAACACGAATAACACAAATAACATGCATAAGGTTTTTTTTTTTAAATAGTTGTCGGCTTGAGATTTGTAGGTAAATTTGAAGATGTATATATTTTTCTAATCATACGTTTACTTTGTTGATTTAATATGTTCAAGGTAACTGCAAATTTAAAGTCAAAATTATTTAGTCCAATTGTTTTGAATTCCTTTCCATGATGTTAATAAGGTAGGTTCCAGTTTAACAGAATGTATTAGCACACAATATACAATTTAATGTTTTCTTGAAAAAAATAAATCAACAAGTATTGGTTGTTAGAAAAATGTGTTCCATTGCAACTTTTAAAATTTTTCCAGCACTGTTAAAAATAAATGAAAATATAAGGTGATATTTTCAGTCTAAAAGCAAAATCACAGATGTAGAAATTCATCATTTTCAATGAAAACAGGGTTTAAAAGTTTCTTGGTCTTTCAAAAATCAATTTATTTTAGTTACACAAATGACCTACCTGAGGTGCAATTTTCACATTCATGGTTTAATGAAATTTAGCGTATATATAATTTCAAACTTTGCAGAATAGTTAAATTTCATTTTTATTTCACATTCATGTTTTTGCATTTGAAGGGAACTCTTTATCCGCTTAGATACAAATAAATTATCCTAAAATATAAATATATATTATCCTACTATAATTGATTGGCAGAAATAATTGTTTTAGGTTATATATGTTTACCAGCAATGCAAATCTCAAGCCTAAACTTATATGCACTGTCCAAAAAGCTCGTAAATGTGAACACATACTTAAATATTTAGGAAGCTTTACGTCACCACATACTGCCAACAAACACACTTAAGCATACTCATCAAGAAAGCTGACTAAAGTTGCTCTAACCGTCTAGTCTAAACTGCGTCACTTAATATACACCAATAACACAGCAATAAATATTATATGTACATGTGATATATAAAATATTTAAACAAAAACGATCATCAAACCTCAAATCTTACAAAGTGCCATAACAAAGAATTAAAAAAAAAAAAATATAGTTCCATTAACAATGAGTCAGATACAGCAGACATCTACAATTCCCAATCCACTATTACTAGAACAATGAAGACAAATACAAGTTATCAAAAATATAAATTTTGATAACAATTTAAAAAAAAAAACAGTAAAATCTTTTAATTTTATAAAATACATTTACATTTTTCCTGCTACAACCAATTTCAAGAGTTTATAAGTAAATATAACTAATTTTAATTCATCTTAATGAATTATAATTAGAAAGCTTCTTTGTAGAGGCACTTTGCAACAATGACTATTATCAAAAGCCAACTGTACAATAAATTGGTCAAAAATATGGTTTTAACTATTCAATACCAATAATTAAAAAAAATATTTATAAAGAATCATCAGAAAACATGGTTTCTGTAAAACATTGAATTAATGTAAACTAACAGTTACACACCAAAATTAAAAATAAAAAAATAATTTTGTATTTCAGAATGATTCAATTTTTCATCAGTGATTGATAGATTTATAATTGATTAACATCCAAGAATTAAATAAGCTTACGCCATTAATCATCCCTGTTATATCAGCAAATTTTGTTTAAATTATAAATTTATCTAAAGAGTTTTAGTAGTTTTTGAGTGTAAAAGCAACCAATTATGGAAAGAGATTCAGATAAAGTACTGAGAAAAAAATGAAAGAAAGGATTAAATAAAAAATATTTGTACAGGAATAATTTAAGAAAAAAAAAAAAAACAGTTAAATCACATTTCATGCATTTGTTTTCAGTTGAACAATAGTTCTTATGGTTAAATTATAACTAGGAATATTTTCTTGGTATATAAAACCACAAAATTATGGTTCGAAGAAGTAACTATCGTACCTCGCTTTAATTTCTTATTTCAGAAATTTTAAAAATATAATTCAAATTTGAAATTATACGCTTTCATTTATGTTGTATTTTGGGCATTATTGACCTGATTTCTAAGCAAATGTTTAAAACTCGACATCCTCAGCAGATATTAAAAATAAATTAATTAATCTTTAAAATATGGTACAACTATGTATTATCAATTTTTACATTATTTCACAGAAAGCAAAATAATACAAGGTATATGAATAAAGTTAAGTAATAGTTTACTCTTTCAAAAAAATTTTCTTTATTTTTATGACGTTTCGGGATCCACTTTATTATCCCATCTTCAGACTAGAAACAAGAAACATTTGTGTTATTTGTATTTATATTATTTCATGCATATATTTTTATAACTTATCATATCAATAACTGATTTGCCAATCTTTCCTGAAATGTCATAAAAATAAAGAAAATTTTTTTGGGAGAGTAAACAGTTACTTAACTTTATTCACATATCTTATATGAATAAAAATCTCCCTTAGGACTTATAAACAAAGTAAAATATTACTATATTAAAGAGAATTTTTGTTAAGTTTCCATCGTAACAGTTGCTGACATAACAGAAATTATACACTTTATATCGTGAATATCAATGATAATGGTAAGAATTATTGTGTTCGTTCTTTTCATTATAACAAAGAATTATTATTTAAACTTAAAATTCAACATATCTAATAACTATTGGATACTACTAAAGTTTTACTAATACTTACAACATTTATTAGTATCATTCTACTTTTACAAACAGATACTGATTCTATCTATACTTTATTTTTGACCAATTAAAAACAACGCATTGGGTTTTGACCTAAACATATGAACCTATTTCAATACAAAACATTCTTTGTCGACCCATCAATCAATGAACATTCTTCTCTAAAAAAGAAGAAAAAAAAAGAGAAAACAAATAAATGAAGAGACAGACAGACAGACAGACAAAGATAGAGAAATATACATAAGAGAGATGTGTGTTATGTCTGTCTTACCTTTATGCTAGTGTTTGTCTGCTACTCACCATGGAGTAAGGAAGAAGAGGTGAATAGAGAGAAAGAAGAGAGAGAAAGTAACATTAGGGCATTAAGGGGAGTGTAAGACATCGTTTTACTTTTAGTTTAGCTAACACAGTCAATAACATACCAAGCTCAAGGAGACTTATTGTTATGATACTGATTTACTTCAAAAGAAAGACATGCTTTAAGTTATTAATATATTATTTAGTTGGAAAAACGCTAAGCAACGTCAATTAAGGATAACTTATATTTAACATATAATATTTAAATCATCCCTAAAAATAAATTATTATTAAAAGCTTCTTTTTTTTTTCTTACATTTTTCTTTTCATATTAGGTAGTTATTAATTAATAACAGGCTACAGAAAAAATCAAAACAAAAAACATCATATATTCACATCAACAGGAGGTATACAAATGACAAGTAATACATTAACACCCAAGAATGAATCAGATACTGCATCAATTACATACAGCTAATAATATCAAATATAATTTTAAATAAAGTAAATAACCACTTAAAAGTGTAATCATAACTTTATTCACTTAAAAAAAAAACTGTTTTTAAATAAATTTTTAAAATGTCTATACCAAAATAAATCACGGTAAAATTTATGGAGCAAAAAAATAATTCTATAATAAGTAACATCAAACAATAAAAGATCTTAACATAACCAAATTAAGATCTCAAATAATCCTAAACAAATTGGTGTTTAGTGATTATGGATTCCTTCATTTTAAATTCCAACAAAAAGAAAAATCTATAATTTCTATGACATTTATTAAAGTGTGACTAAAATTCATAAATACTTAGGAATGAAAAATGTTTATAGTTATTTGAGGTTTATGGAGAAGTTAATAACAGATACAAAAAGTGCTGCCTTTTTATTTATTTTTTTATTTTACTCATAATATTACATTAATGTATTGAAGACTAATTCATTAATTTTAAAAGACAGAAATATTTTAAATATTAAATTTATTAACTGATAGTTTTAAATTAAGAAGGAAAAAAAATCTAAACTAAAGAACCAAGGATAATAAATTAAGAATAATTTACTATATAAAGTCTATGAAAATAGTATTCTGGTAAGATAAAGTATGTTCTTTTATTAAAAAATAATATAAAATTTATAATAAATGCTGATAACAATAAATCTCCTTAAATGATTCATCGAAATATTTCATTTAATAAGAAAATCTGAAGAGTAGACTGAATTATAAAATATTCAGAAAGCGAAATCAAGAATAAATATAGAATTAGGGTTTATTTTGGTGTAAATTTTTGTTAATGAGATATCAATACTATACAAATCAATCTTAACTTAAGCATCAACTTTTATAAGAAAAGTTTTGTCTTTTTATGTTTATAACACGAAAGGAGAAAGTTTACCCAATTACAAAAAGTAAGATTTATATTGAATAGTTACTACTCAAATAATTAAGTCTTGAAATAAGAGTCCAATATTTATTTATTTCCAATATTTATAAAAGAACAGTTATTTTTTTACTACTGTAATTCACCTTAATATAAAATTTAATTACTATTAAACAATTAATTAGACATTTGCAGAAACTGTATTTTTAAAAATAAGAGAGGCCATATTATAATTAATTCTAAAAAATAATCAATTATGAAAAAGGTTTGTTCATGAAATTATTTTTTAAATACTTAAAAAACAAAACAATAAATACAAAATACAATTGTCTCCTTCATCAGAACGTTGGATGTTTAGCACTGTTGTTCCTTGGCATCTTTTCCTTTGAATGGCATCAGAAAAGGCAAAATATTAACATTTCCAGTGCCTTAGGATAGTAGGTCAGTTACTTAAGGTGCAATATATTTTGGTTATAGTAATATATTTAAAACCAATATATTTTAGTTAAACGCAAAACTTTAGAGAATTAGGAAATCATTGAGAAATGAGAAAGAAACTCCATTTCTGAGGAAGATTTCTATTGCAAGGCAGTTATTGATCTAGGATGAGAGGATCTTTAGAAAGCTAACATGGAATATTAGCCACAGTTCATTTGGGTCTATAAAATGTATGGAAAGAATACCATAAACTGATGAAATAATGAATAATGAATAGCTAAACCTCATATAAAAATAATGAATAGGGAAATTTCAATTGCTAAGTACAAACAACAAAAATGCATGATTTGGTTATATATAAAAGTATCTCTATTACCTAATATTAATAAAACATTAATTATATAAAGAACAATTAATTAATAATTACATAAAAAATGGTTTTTAGAAATTGCTTTACCTTTACTTTATTGGGATAAAATAGTCTAGCCAAGGCGTGTTAATTGAATAGCCAATGGAATATAACTCAATCAAACATACAGAAATTATAAATTTAATGAAGATCAAAAGTCTAGCAAAGAAACTAATTTTTAAATAGACCTATTAAAAGGATAAATTGAAAATAACATACTAAAAGACACTGAGATCTGTTTTATTAGAAGTTGAGATTTCCTGCCTTTCTTTGGCTTTTTACTAATCATTCTGAGGCTTTTGGCTTTATATTTATCTATTTTAATTTAGGGTAAAGAAATTTTAAATTTGACAGATGAAACATGTATTTTACACCTGAAATATAATTTATTTCCCTCATAATAAATTACCTAAAATCGTACATCAAAACCACATGAATTTTTGCAAAAATCAAAGATATCTTACCATGTTATTTCCTTTAATACCACTATATTACTATAGAATAGATACAAACTTCAATCCAAGGAACTCAAATTTAGTAAAGTTCATAGCTTTGATTAATTCAACATTAACTCTAGAATGGTAAACCTGAATCTAGACACCTTATTGCTAAAACTTTACTACTTCGACAACTTGAACTAAAACATCAATTTAGAGAGTATTAAAAGAAACAATGAGAATAAATAATGACCAAAGTATAAAGTTAATAATATCATGGATTAAAATATCTCAGAAGCTGCAAATCGGACCTGCATATTGTAACTGAGGCAAATGTTCATCATTTCTGTAATGGATTATTATTCGAAATTGTGGCTAAATGGTTGACTGCCGCGAATAATGAAGAGAAGAATAATAGTTGGGGTGATCAGTCAAATAAGAAGGCAAAAATAAATGATAATATTTATTTTGACATTTGCCGACGTTTCGATCTGAAGTTCAGGCCTTCATCAGGGCTAAGAAAAGAACCAGATAATAAGGTATGAGAAACAAAAGTAATGTACGTAAAAAAATTAAAGTAAAATGCAGTTGTTAGAATAATGACAATAGTAAGAACTAAGAGATAAATAATAATAACCGGTACAAAGTGTGGAAAGATGAAGTAAACATAATCAAAAAAGGTGACATAAGTATTAAAATGGGAATCTTAGAATAAAATGTAAAACAGAAAAAAAGAAATATGAAGGTATATAAAAAATAGAAATAAATAGTAAAATTAAAATATTGCGAATAGAATAGTTAGATAGAAAATTGAGATATTATAAAGTTTATCAAGATGTACAGACAACGTATAATATAATAAAGAGTTAAAAACAGAGAAAAGGAATGAAAGGAAGAATAGGAAAGAAACTGAAAAGACTGAAATAAGAAAGAAAAAAGAACACAAACCTGACTCCAAAGGTGTAAATCGGAGCAATGAGCATGGTAGCCAGGGAGGGGAGAGAGAAGAGATGTATAGTGGCGTCATCTCTAACAGTTATCTGACGAAGTTTGAACTAAAGTATCGGAAGCGTAAGTAAGGACAAGAGATATATTACTCATAAATATGATGGATAATTAAACAAAAGTTTAATAGAAACTTTTTGATTATTATTCAAAATTGTTTATTAACTGTGTTAGAGAGACAAAAAGGAAAAAAATAGTGTCAAAAACCAAATGATAACAAGTTTTGTGGGAGATATGGATTAAAATATCTCAGAAACTATAAATCCGACTTGCATACTGTTAGCAAGGAAAATGTTCAGCATTTCATGCTCTTTATAATGAGAAATTATTAATCTCGCCTGGTTGTTGTTTTCGATTCTGTCATGTGTTGTAAATCACACACCTTAGTTGTTTTTTTTTAGTATGTAAAGTATCAAATGAAGTAGAGGGCAGTTTTTAACAATTTTTTCTGTTTTAAAACTACTGGAAATAATTATTCTGAATTTGTCTGATCTTTACATTGTTCATCAACAAAACAATAAACATTAAATTTGTATATTTTAATTATTCCTAAAAATACACTGCCAAAAAAAATATATAACACTATAAAAGGGATGGTTAAGAAGTTTGCTAAATTCTATTCATTAAAATCTATTTAAAAAAATGAAGTGAAGCAATGATAGATTGGTTCACAAGCCAAAAAATATATAACAAACTTAGTTGCAGATCAATGAAATAAGTCTAATTTTAATTACAACATTAATAAAAGGACTGTATGATGATGGAAAAATTAATTACTAATAATCCATTTGCAATACAAATTTGGAATGAAAAACACATTTTAGTTGTAATGTTAAGCCTTCATTGAATCAATTTTTGAGTGATTTAAGAGAAAAAGAATTCCAAGAAGTACATAAAAAGGTTGAATCTTCTAACAGAATCTATAAAGTTGTTGTACCGGGACGCGAACTCATGACTATTTTTCTATCATTTATCATATATCAGGTTGCCGGGCAATGGTGGTGCTGTGCACAACGTGTTAGCCCATTCGGCCTCCCCGCCCACTATAAAGTTGTTACTAATAATTGATTGGTCAGCTTAGTCGACAAATGTCACAAAAGTTAAGGTTTACCATTCTAAAGTTAACTTCACAAGTCTAAACTCCCAATTTACTTTTTAAAAAAATTATCTACAAGGTTGTTAGATTATTATATACAATATTCTGCAATACTAAATCACTCCAATTGAAATTCCTTACGTACCATAAGTTCTCTTCATAATCTCAAAAATTAACATAATAACAATGATCTTCAAATCGTATATTTTACAACAGCTTGTACCTGTTTCCAATAAATTTTAAATTCTTTTAATCCTTGATAAGTGTGAAACCTTACCTCTGGTAATTTCTATTTCATTTTTTTATAATATTCTTTTATTGGTATATTGTTTTCTATTACTCAACTAACAATAAAAATAAAACAATTAAAGTAACAAAATATTATAAAAATTTGCAAAGAAATTCATTAAATGAAATAAATTTTAATTTTTGTTCTACTTTTTTGATGAGAAGTAATTTTTATTTTACTGGTACATCAATTATTTTAAATATTCATTTTACTCAATCAAAAGGATTTCGTGGTTTAAGCCACATCATCAGGTATATTTTCTCCTCTAAGACTATTGTTAATATTATAATATTGTTAATATAATTTAAAAGCCTTACAACATTTTATATTATATTCCTAGAAAATAAGATAATGATGTAGCTAAAGCCATGCGAGGGTGATAACTGAAAACATTATTTATTGGAGAATGCAGTTGTATAAATGTAATTTGTTAACAAGTACTAATGGTTATATATATAAATATTCAGGCAATAAATAGTTCACAAAATATTAACTTACTTGATCTTCGTTTTTCTGAAATAGATCCTGATCGACCAAGAAGTTCTCCTTTTACAGCTTTCAAACTTCGAAGAATTTCATCAGGATCTCTCATTGCTCGGCAAATAGAGGATCGCCGCCGCTCTTTGTTGTAATTTACTGGCGGTGTGTCTCCTTCTAAAATTGCTCGTATTAGATTTATTAACAATATTTCAAGAATAACATTTTTTTATATAAAGTCAGGAAAAAAATAACATACCTATAAGCATCAAAGTATGTACATTAGCCATATTAAAGGATTTTACATCTGACTTAAAGTAGCAAAACATTCATTTGTTCATTTATTTACAAGAACATATAGAAAATTTACTCCGATAATTTTCGGTCTGGGCAAGCATGGTTTTTAGGGGTACTAAAAGCTGTATAAATGCTATAATCAAGACAAAGCACTATAAGCAAGCAATTTTTTTTTTTTTTTTCTGGAATCAATATCTATGGATGTTATATGCAGAGGTAGAGGCTATATTTTTATAATGATTCATTTCTCTAGCCATAACATCAAAGTACATTATTAACTATATTTTCTATTTCTAAATAGACTTATATACACTTCTGTATGGACTACTGATTCAAGATTCACTTTGACTGATATAAAAATAGTACTTGACAATATTTTTTTAAGCAAGAGTAAGTGCATTTTGAGGTGAACAATACACTTGAAATTCCATTAAAAATAAAAAAATAGAACCGCTTATGAAGTTTCAAATTTGCATTTATATTTTGAAAAAAAAATGTTAAGTTTATTTTAAAAAATGGCTAAATATGTGAAAAGAATAGATACATCTAAAAAAAAATTAAAAATAAAATAAAAACACTTCTTTTCACAGTCATTTTAAATAGTAAAGTTAAATATCCATGGGTACAATACACCACATCTTCTCTCATCGATAAATGCTGGAGAAGGTATATGAAGATAATATGGATCTCCATCACCTCTTCATTGATTTCCACTAAGCATATGGCAGCCTCAATAAAAATGAACTGCTTAAAGTAATAAAGGCACTTGGAGTTCCAGAAAAGCTTGTAGAATTGAGTGCGATGACCCTTGAAAAAACCACTGACAGAAGAATTTGAGGCAGTGAATGGTTTACGCCAAGGAGATTCTGTCTCTCCTGTATTATTTAATATTGTATTGGAGCAAGCAGCTAGAGCAATAAAAACAAACGCAGGAGGAACAATCTATAATAGACTTACACAACACTTAGCTTATGCTGATGACGTGGTAATATCGTCAAGATCTAAAGCTGCACTATCAGAAGCTTTACAGGAGTTTGAAGATGCTGGAAAAAAATTGGGTCTTAAAATAAATAAGAAAAAAAACCAATATATGATATCCTCAAAAAGTGAGGGACAGGATAGCATGTAACTGCTCCACTACACTTTTAAGAAAACTGGCAGTTTCAAATATCTTGGAGACTTAGTGACCTGCAAAAATGACATCACTGTAGAAATTAAAGCAAGAATCACAGCAGGCAACAGATGTCTTTTTGCATTACTGAAAACATTGCGTTTTCAAAACCTTTCATGGAGGACAAAGTTACTGGTTTATAATACTATCTTGAGACCAATTGTCGCTTGGGCAGGTGAAACATGGATCCTGACACAGGAATGGGAGAAGATCCTCCGGATCTGGGAAAAGAAGGTCCTTTGGCAAATCTTAGGGCCGATATGTATGAATGGCCAATGGAAAATAAGAAATAATAGAGAACTCCAAGAACTGTATAAAAAAACCAGACATAACCACTTATGTTAAATCAAGCCATATAAGATGGCTTGGGCACATAGAAAGGATGGGTGAAGATAGATACCCAAAAAGACTATTATACGGTAAACCAGGAGGCAAAAGAAGGAGAGGAAGGCCCAGACTTAGATGGTTCGATGATGTGGAGGACGATTTTCAGAAGATGGGAATTGGACAATGGAGAATTCGCGGATAGAGAGGATTGGATAGGCGTTGTTGTGGAGGCCAAGGCCCTACAAGGGCTGCAGAGCCACGGAAGTAAGTAAGTAGCAAATATGCATGTATAACACATTTATTATAAATGTTTCTAAATTTGAGCTGACGTGAAAATATTTTAAAAATTTCCCCTCTCTCCAAAAAATTGTGCTTTGTTATATAGTGGAGTTTTTAATTTCTACTGTGGTATAATTCATTAAATGAAAAAACTTAAAAATACTACATAAATGTTTAAAAGACCTGATTAAGCAAAAAATCAAATCAGTATAATTTTTGGTTGAAAATCTTTAAAAGGGAATATTTGTATGTAAATACAATAAAAAAAACAACATAAAAACAATGGGAGCAAATTAATAATTAGCAAAATTAGACATTTCAATTCCCAGATCACTGATCCCCAGAACATTTTTAATCAGAAGCATTGATAAAAAATAAGGAACGGTAAAAAAAAAATCTCTGTAACTGTAAAATAAAGTGAAATATCAGCTTAAGTATCTTATATGCTTACTTTTAGTCTACGTGATACTACATTATATATCGGTAATATATATTGCATATATCCATATTGTATGTAAATTGTATGGTTAGCACGCTATACTAGTAAAGCAAAGATCATAGGACCAAATCCCGGCCCTACTTCCCAATACGGTTGGTCCCCGCGGGAAGTTAGACCATAATACCCACTTAATTAGGGGAGACCTAAAGTTGTAAGGCTTGTATGAACAGGCTTTATTATTTATTATTATATCCATATTGAATTCTATATCGGTGATTCTCAGGTAAAGCTGAGTAAGGCATGGGTAAATTAAATAAATTTATTTTGAAGTTATTGAAAAGTGATTAAAAAGAAAGAAAAAAATATAAATAATAAAAACAGAATCAATTGGAAGATAACACAGTTTAAGGTCACTTTTGTTACTTCCTTGATCTGCTCTCTGGGGACTTTATTTTAGTTTTAAATTTGATTCTGAATTGTACCATATTATGTAGACATTTAATGTAGGGCTAGTTGGATTTATTCTTTTTTATTTTGGATGAGCTTGAGTTTTTTAATTTTTTTTTTCCTGAAAACCTGCTCCTATTCTGAGACTGACTATGGTAAAAGCTTATGAGATCATGGCTGATTTTAATGTTAATGGAATTTCAAGAATATTTAAGGTTACTTAATACACTTAAACAGTATGTATTTCTCAATCCCTTTTTCAATACAATAATCAGTGCTGGTTTTAAGCAGCGTGAAAACTATGCTAAAGCTATAAGAGCTGGTCAATCAGCAATAAAATTTAATTTTGTCTTACGCTGTATAGCTTCTAATGACTTCATTTTTTGCTTTCCCCACAATTTGGGTCGTTGCACTGTTTTGTATAAAAAAATAAAAGAATAGTTTAGGCATAGTATTTCTAATTTTATTGAATATTGCATAAAAGCACTTTGAGGGTCACTGCCGTGATTATAAATGCACCTTTGCATTAATTTATAGTAATTACTTTCTTTAAAATATGTTTTATTGATTCCTTAAATATAGTTCATCTTCAGGTAAAATAAACATTGTTACAAACCTATGTACATGTTTTCAATTAGTTATTATAGTGCAAATAATTTTGAACACTATGTAAAAAAACAAAAGTCTCTCAGGTAAAATTTGAAGGTACTGGGGATGATAATATAAAGTTTAAAACCTTTTTCTTGGGTCGACTGGAAGCTACTTCTTCTAGAGCCTGGAAGAGATCGAGAAAAGTCTCTGGAGAGTTGATATGGCTCAAACTCTAGCTGTTCAGATTGGCTTGAACCACGACGGGAGCCACCCATATAGGCATGGTCAGGATGAAGAAACATGCCTCCTTCAGCCTCTATATCGGACGTTTCTTCTGCCACAAATATAATAGTTAGTGATTTAGAAATAATGCACTCTTGAGCAATAGTTGCTTTTTAATTTTTTGTATTAATATTTAAAAACTTTATCAAGAATAAATCCTGAATATTTTGGTTAGATTTCACTAAAAATATTTTTCTTCTGTCGATTATATAATATTGTATATGTTAACAATAATTTTATGAAACATGTTAAATAATATGGTAAAATAATGTACATTATTATTGGATTATCCATTGCCAATTTTACTCTACTTCAACTTCAAATATCTTTACTGAATTTATAAAACAAATTTCAAATAAATTGATATTTTTCATTTTTTTTTTTTAGTTATTATTCAATTCGTGGTTTCCTTTCACATATTATGCAAGTATGAGAAGTTATGTGCAGTAACAGATTCAGAGTTTAATTTAAGAGGGCTTCAGCCCAAAAGATTTTTTTTATATATATTTAATGTTTATTATTTTGTAAGACAAAGAAAGAAACTGACTAACTATATGAAATGGTGTTTAAGTGATTCTTGAAGTTCTATTAAATAGTATGACATAAACAATAATACTTTTAGAGATAATTTTTTAATACTTTTTTCATGAGATATTGCTATATTTCACCATTTTGATGGAAGAGGGCTTCAGCCCGGGAGCTCCTCCTGTAGATTTGCCTGTAGTTATATGCCAATATTTTTATAAACATTAAGATATGGAATGAATGTTAGGTTTATTTTATTACTAGTTGGAAAAATCTAACCATAAAGTCTCGAGTCTCTAAAATGGAGGTAAAGAATAGAATAACTCGTCAACGTTTCATCAATTCAGACGTCATCAGGACAGAAAAAAAAACCTAAGATCACATCACTTCATGATATACTTTTACTATGAGTGATGTAGTCTTCCTTTGTTTTTCTATTTTGATGATGCTTAAAGCAATGGCTGTGTTATTTTGTTCTTTGCCTGCATTTTAGAACATATGACTGAGTGGTTGGATTTTTACAAATATAATATAACATCTATTTTCTGTCTCCTGGCGATATTTAACTAATTTATATTAATAAGGAATGAATTAAATTACTAAATTCAAGGTTTTATTTAATTTTTTGAAATCCACTTGTATTAGAGAAATTTACTGGATTGTCACATCTTAACCACTTTGCCTTATATCATATATCATGAGATATTGATTGGCCATTTTCTTTAAGCAGTTCTTTATGAGAACTTCTCCTCCTTCCGTTATAATTCTTATACCAGATTGCTGCAGTTATCATGCAGAGAATTTTATCTGAAATCATTCAATATTTCTTTCTAGAGAGAGTGTCCAAGTCTCACAGTGGTATATCAAAACTGGCTTTATCATAACATAGTATACTATTAAACCGAGATGTATTGAGATTTTTTGGGATTTCAACATCTTTGAAAGAGAGAAGAAAGCTCTTTTTGCGCTTGTTATCTGCTGGTCAATTTCCAACTATTGGTCATTCATTGAGATTATCGTAGAACCGAGGTAATTAAATTTATCTACCATCGAAAGGGTTCTGCATTGAAGGGAATGATTTCCCTCATAATAAGAGAACTATTTTGAGTATTCAATTTTTAGCTTGAAACAATTTTTGTTTTGATTTATTTATTTTTATTTTCATTTACTTATTCAATGATTTATATGGATTACAAAAATTGACTTGGCTTTTTCACACCTTTAATTTGCACATTTAATTCCATATAGCCTGAAGAATATTTTTTAAATTAATATTTTAAGATACTAAATAAAGACAGTGTACTTTGATTTACTTCAATTAAATAAATCAAGGATATCATGAATATTTAAACAGTGAACAGATACAATTTAAATATAAACATAATAAAAAGTGCTGAAGAGATGAATGTCTTAGTTGTTATAAAGTGCATGAGATTTCTTTAAAACAATATCACTCACAACAGGGGCACAGTTTAATTTCAGACAAATACACCAACTGCTACATTTGGAGAAGATAATTAATGTTAAAAAAAATGAATTGTGCATTGATAAAAATATTTAGGGTTAAACAAATTATTGTATTTAATAGGAGAGCTACTGTTTTTGATGTTTCTTCCATTCCCAATATAAAGAAGTTCATTGCTATTGGAGAGTTATGGGACCTTAAATAAATAACGTAAAAAGTTCTGGTGACTTGAGTGGACATTGACATAGCCAAAATAGAACACATTTCAATGATCACCATCACCTTTTTAGGATACCTTTTCAAAGATTACAGAGTTAAATTAGTAGATAAATAAACATGCTAATTACCAATATTAACTGGTGTGCAGGAGAGAATAAATGTCCTAACACAGACTGAATTAAAAGTATTAACTGGTTCAAAACCTCTCTTTAGAATATTTAGCACCCATATGATAGCTCTGATATCCATTATTATTTTACCTAACACACTCAACCTAAGTGCAGATAAAAACCTCTTTTACAACTCCAATAAAATTGTCTGCATCACCTTAATTAGTTCCCATCTTGAATGATCATGTTTTCCAAAAATCCATTCAGTGAATCCTTCAGATGTATACAACAACTTCTAATATACTCTCTTATTTTCCACCATTTCCACTATGGGTGGTAATTATTACTTGATCTTAACAAAAAGACTGTTCTCACCCCTTTCCCATTTCATTCTATTCTTGTTCCTCCATTCTTTCCCATCTCGGTGATTAGTAACTGTTCATGGTACATAAAGGGTTTTCTGAAGTTTCAGATAGTGTAGAGTAAAAAGGGAAAAGATTAACTAGAAAAAATGACATTCAAGATGAAATAAAGGTGAAAATAAGAATGAGAAGTGGTTGTAATTTTTTAGTACCAAAATTACTTATCTTGCACCTATTGTCAAGAAATTAAAAAGTTACAAAAAAATTAACCTTTTTACTGCTTTTTAATGCAAAATGTGGTTACTAACTTTAAAGGAAGAACAATGCCTTAAGGTATTCCAGAGTAAGATATTGTATAATATATTTGGTTAGAGGAAGGCTGAGTCAACTGGAGAATTTGGGAGATGATGAATTCACATGCATTGTGGAGCATGTATTTTGTTATATAGCATCATGGCAGTTGCAATGAGTAGTCAACTTACTGAACTTGATAATGAATGAAGGCCTAAAGAGTTAATAAAGGCTGAGCCCAGTATTAAACGTTTATGTGGTAAACCTAAACATAGTCAAGATAATTGTGTCGATATTATTCTTGTAGATTTGGGTTAATGAGATTAGTAGTAGCTATGTGGAATTATCCATACAGTGACGGAAGTAGTTGTACAAACAGCTATTGGTGTTATTGGTATCAAATCTTTGGATTCACGAATCCATTTCTTATTAAACCTTTATGACTAACTAACGAGCCTTCAGAATTCATGCTGTCATGCCTGCTTTCACAATTCTTGCTGTTATTAGAAGTTAGAATTAATTTTTTCTAATTTCTTATAGCTTTTCTATTTCAATTTTTAAGATACAAAAATCTTCATATATTATAGATAGTATCACCCTACATTACTCCATATCTCTTTTAAATACAAGAATTTTCTTCTTAATCTACCAACTTACATATCACCTTGTCTTATAGAGTTTCTTCTATATCAAAATATTTTATCATTATTAGACAATTGGAAGACTTTCATTTTATTATTTAGTCAAATTGGATACTGTAAGACAGCCTCAGATCATCGTATTTATTTCATATTAAGTAACTTTCAGTGTCCATCATTGTATTTGTTTCTTAATTTCTTTACTCCGTAATTGATGGACAATTTTTGAGTACAATATTTAAATTAATGTTTTAATTAAATTAAATCAGTTCATTTAATTTAAAATGTTTGCAGATCAATTATTGAACAAAGTAAATAAAAGTAAGTAATAAATTACTTCTGTTAAATTGAAATCAACATTCAATGGAGGAAACATCATATACCACATCAAAAGATGAAATAAGAAACATGCGTGATGAAATACTATAGATATATCGGTTTGGAAGTCAGGGCTGACGGCACAAGGTTTCTCCTCTGTTGGATTTGTCTTACCCGAATTCCTTCTGAAACATGACAAGAGAGAAACCCATTTTTCAAGACCATGATGATGATGGTGATGGTGGTGGTGGTGTTGATGTAGATGATGATGCCAATAATTTCTTGGACTGCTTAAACCAGAGTCCCAGCATACTTCCAGTGTGAAATCTGAATAACTTACCCAATTATTATTTCGTCCCTCTGATTTTATTCCCTTTATTATTAATACATAATAATTATTTATTACATCATCCCGGATGGAGGTTAGCTGTTTAGTCATGTCAATAAGGAAATATTAACTATTTTTAATGTTGGAAATGACAATATTTCAATATTGTGATAATAAATCTTAGTTAAAAAAAAAAAGAAATAAAACATTACAGGCAAAAAAGATAAGTATCATCTATCTGGTTCTGTTTTGTTACATAAAAAGAAGACAGAAACAATGAACAAAATGAAGTATTGAAAACAACAGTGCATAAGCACACTAATACTACAAACCTGTTAAATGCAATTATTTGTGATAGTGTATTTCTACAATAGATAATTTCATATTTTGTCTACCATTAAATTTTGAACAAACAGGGTTTTGGGACAATTAGCTGGTTATTTGTTTTGAGCAATGTAAGAAATATTTTTGAATCCCATGTGCCAACCTTCTGTAATTTTTTTAGAAAAAGATTTTATTGATTCTATAAAAACTTTATGTATTAAGCCAAAAATAGAAACTATTGAAATTAAAATAAAACCTAGACCTTGACTTAATATGTCTGTATATACATTGAATTTTAAAAATTGGCAATTAAATACACAATTTTTTAAATTTTGATATAAGTTTATTAATTTTTATGATAAACAACTTTATTAGAGTTATTTATTTTTTTAGTGAGTCTTATTAAGAACATAATCAATTATAAATTAAATATAATAAGAAAGTTTATTATTTTTTTGTGAAATTTAAAACATTTCTTCAACCAAAAAGTTTTAATGATAATGCTTTTAGTATGAACCTATTACAAATGAATGTCTGAATAATAAATAATATTTAATATCTATAAAGAAAATGTTTTTCAAGGGACTTTCTAATCTTATAAACTGTTTTATTTTTCTTCTTTTAAACAGAAAGTGTAATCAGACAAATGTGACCACAAAACCCCCTTGTTAAATTTTTAACTACTCTACCATTTTGCTATTCCTAATGGAAGCTTAATTGCAAAAAAAGTGCATCAGATTGTCTTCTAAACACTAACGTGTGCGACTATCCGTGGCATTCAATATTAACTATACCCTCATAAACAGCAACCACAGCTACTACTGTAATGTAAAAATAAATGAAGTTATTCGAAATTGAGATGCTAAGTAATCCTATTAATTTGGATTAGCAAATCTCTTTAATTTTTCATTATGTTCAGTTGAATACAATATAAGTTTATCTGATGAAAGATAAATTTACAATAATAAATGATAAAACTTATACATTAATTCGTTTTACTAACAATTGTACTTATAATTAAAAAAAAAACTATTTAGACCTATTATATATCTATTCAAATGGGAATAATAAGTGATTGTTTATAATAAGTTATCAAAATGATATTTGTAAATGAAACGTACCAGAAAGGGAACGATCTCCTCTCCTTAAAGTTCGTATTGAAGTATCAGATGCTATTGAAGAACGAGGAGATCTAGGGGACCTTAATTGTCTTGGATCTTCCAGTCGATACCAAACAGGATTGTCATCTAAGAGTGCTTTTTGTAGATCTACACAACATTCTCCTGAAAAAACAATGTATGTTCCGATAATTGGATGGTTTGAATTATTTTTCTTGTGGGGTGGCTGAGCGGCAACCTGATAAATTGTCTCCCTGTGCTAGGAGGACTTTTATCTCTGACATTAATCCCCTACTCAGAGAAAACCCATGTAGCCAAAAAGGCGAGGAAGGAAAGGTAGAAATAAAATTGTATTTTCTCTTATTATAAATGAATTATGGAGGAAGATAAGCTAGCGAGATTAAACTAGGGAATATCTGTTCCAACTATAATGAATCATAATTGGTAATATTATTATCTAGTTAACATATAAATAGATAGTAAAATGCAATAAGAAAGTTAATATTAAAACAATCATGAATAATAATCCCTTTCTAGTATAAAATCAATTAAAAATTATGTTTTCCAATTTGATGCAATTGAGTACAGCCTGAACCAAATTTCACTTCCATAAAGTCATAATTATCATCCTCATAATCTATTTAGTTTTAATAAAGAAAGGGTATTGTGAGATTTCTGCTTGTAGGACCACTCCTTCCTATTCTTGATCAATCTCAACCTATAGGTTGCGTCTGTTCTATTTTTGCCTCATAAGCCTCTCTAAAGAGATAATGGTTTGAAATTATAAGACAGCCCGATTCCTATATTACAGTTTGTTTGGGGTTTACAATCTGACTTAACCTAATTGCAGCAATCATAATTCTCCAGGTTAAAGGAACAGCACTCTACCACCATACAGTACACCAGTAGAGCACACTACAACACCTCTACAGCACAAACCCTAGGGTCACTGTTTATAGGTGGCCATCCTGATCAGGAAAAGGAGATTTTAAGACGGCAGCCCCTTCTCTTTACTCGAGGATATTTCTCCTAACACTTTTATATTATGAGAAAAGAAACAAATACAGTTGGCCAGTTGATTGTAGTACTGAGTTAGGCCATGGCAGCCAAGAGTGCAAGGGATCATAATCTTAGCAACCTCACTTTTATTTTGTGGTAAGCCCATGGTGTGAATGTTGATCTTCCCACTTGGGTTAGAATAGGTTGGTTACCTGTAAGATGAGGGGATGATGTGGCCAAGCAGGCTAACGCATGTGCACAGCACCGCTGTTGACCGGCAACCTGATATATGAGATAATTTGATGAAAATAGTAAAGGTTAAATTCGGGAAAGTCTTTTAACTCGGGCATTGATCCCCGCCCTCACCTCCAGACCCAGGAAAACCCCGCATACCCTAAAATGCAAGGAAGGGTAGGACCAAACAAAAAAAAAAACTTATCCTTACTCTATATTTCATACATTGGTAAGTGAAAGTAAAAATATTACTGAAAGGATAATTATTTCATACTTTCATCTTTATGTTTAATAATTTTCTTTCTTCCCTAATTACTTTTTAATTCTTATTGTTTATTTAGCATATTACACTATGTTTACATTTTTTAAATTAATTATCAACAAATAAAAAAAATTAATTTGTTTTTACAGAACTACACATATTCAATAAATAATTATACAAAATTATACTAACCTAAAAAAACTTGTTCCTTATCTGGTTTGAAGTCCCATAAAGTTACTTCCAAGCTCTTTTCCATCAATTGTTCTCCTTGAACATTTTTCAATTCAAGAGTTGTATTCCAAATAGGATTTTGAGTAGCTTCAGCAACTTCAGTTTTGACAGCAGTTGAGTCCCCACTTCACAAAATATTAGTTAATTTGAATAACATCAGTGATACTGATAGTACACAATAGATTCATTAAGATAGGATTATTTCATATTTGCAAGTTTATGTTTCAATTCGCTTATATTTTAATAAATATTTTATAATAATTTGAATTCTAGACAATTATTTTATTAGTTATTTTATGAGTTCTAAAATTTTTTAGGTAAAAAATTGAAAATATGACAAAAATAAACATATTTGTTAATGCAGATATATTATCTTACGTAAATGGCAGAAGTCGAAGTTGTAAATATGCTTCTGGAAGAGCACCATATAATGGGTCATCCCGAGCAGCAAGATCATCAGCAGCAAATACTGATACCACTAATTCATTTTTGTCATCATTATACCAAACCTGAAGTTGAACACGACCAGAAACTGGAGTACGTTCTTTGGGTGTAGGATCCTGTTTGGTCACAATTGAAATATAATAATTAAATTGTGCATTGCTTAAAAAAAAATTTTTTCTAGCCATAAGAATAATAAAAAATTTAAATAAAATATCAAGAACGTAATTCAAAGGCCTATTATTAATGAAATTTGGAATACACTGCTCATTAAATAAATTAATATAATTGAAAAACCTAGTCATTTAAAAATAGGAATAATTTTGAATTACGATATCAAAAATGGTAATAAAAATGTTTAATGTTTGTTGGTTGTTAAAATTTGCTTAATGGTAGCAAATAATGAAACAGTAAAATAGTATTCTAAAGCATGTCAAGGTTATCTGAATCATATAATCTATTTTACCTTGTGGCATTATATTGAGTGTTAATAAATAAAATAAATTTAAAAAAAGATAAAAATTTAATTACAATATTATTGGTTTATTAATATTTTAAACTTTAAAAAAATTAAGAAAAATCTAAATGTAAGATGAGCTGAAACTGTGATGGAGGAAAATCGTTTGAGATAGTTTGGTCATGTCCCTCGAATGCCAGCGAATCGAATTGCCAGGCATAGCGTTGGGAAGTAAAGTGGAGGGAAGAAGAGCTCAGGGAAGGCCCAGCAAGACCTGAGAGGACAGTGTCAAGGAGGCCTTTGACGGATGGGATATTGACTGGAGGAGGAGGCGGCAGTTGGCTCAGGATCAAGAGTTGTGGGTTCGGCTCTACAAGAAGGCTCTTCACACCGCTCAGTGGTAGAAGAGGAAACAATTAAGAAGAAGAAGATGATTAATATTTTATAATAATAATTTTTGTAAAAAAAAAAAAAAATTCATTTGAATATTCAACTGAACAACATTAATATGATCTGTTCTAGAATTTCAGGGTTGAATACATACTTTTTCAGTAGAAGTAGGTAAGTAGGGTAGGAGATTTAGGGCGATAAATTGCTAGATTATTATACCCGTTTTTCAGTAGAAGTTTGAAAACAATGAAATGACATCATTTTTTTTTCTTCTCATTTCTAATGAACCAACAATTAAAGTATTTCATAATAAATAATACCTGTACCACTACAACCCATGAGGGGTCTTGGGTTCAGTGCTTGGTAAGGAAGTATTGTTTTCAAGACCAACAGTTGTGCAAGGATGTGATTGGGCTAAGATCACACTAAGTAATTATTTCAATTAATAGTAACCACTTTATGGAGGCTGGATGCACCCCAGAAGGGTAATAATACACAACAAATAAAACTAGGATAAAAAAAAAAGCAACAGGAGCATTTAAAAAGAGAATTTAAATCTGTATTAGTTTTTTCTTTCGAAATTTCGCTTGAATTTCTAAAGGATATTTTTCTGCTCTTCAATAAGAGAAACCTCCATTATTGAAATGATTTAAGTAAAGATGGGCTTCTTTATAAATCATCACACAGGTCTTTGTAAATAGGGGATGGGGTGGCCTAACGCATGTGTGTAGCACCGTGAATTGCCTGGCAACCTGATAATAGAATTTTGAGATAGAAAAACAAGTTCAAATCCATGGGACTTATAGCTCGGCATAATTCCCACATCCTCTCCCCTGGCCCGAGAAAAACCCCATGTAGCCTAAAAGGCAAGGAAAGATAAAAAAAAAAAAAAATGTATTTGTGAAGATTTTAGATCTTGTCTGGATGTATGATAATAACTCAATACATTAAATTCAAGGTGTTTTACCACTCTGGCATAAACAATTTTGTTTTTTACGTTATGTTGTATTTAATGAGCAATATTATCTTATATGATAATTTTACAATATATCGAGCAAAAATATCATCATAATAAAATGAAAAAGTTCAAAACCGTTGGAAATAAAATTTTACTATACATTTAAACTAAATTTCATATTTATTTGGATAAGGTGCAAGCAATTTATATCTATGGTTATTTAATATTGTTGACAGGTATTGTCTGATAATGAAGCACACTACTTAATAAGGTTCATAAACTACTTTATTCAAACATCTGTAATTTTTAAATACTTTCTTAAAAACAGAACGTTTAACCAAGTTTTAACACAAGGAAATAAAATAAACATCAATACTAGACAAAGGTACTTACTAGACTGCTGGTTTTCAAATTTCTTGTTTTCTTGTATATCTTCTAAATAATAATTATTTTTCTTTGATGCAGTATTACTTTTTCCAGTCTTTGAAATACTATTTCATCTTATAAAAATACTTTTTAATTCACTACATCAGTTTCAGCACTTAAATAGTCAAGCATAAACTAATATAGACCAAGCAATGCTAATACCTAAGCTACAAGATCTACACTTTGTACATATTGAGGAAATTAGGATTTTAGTGGCACATGTAGGTGCATCAGACAGAAAGCAGAGAGCGTGTCAATTTGTACTCTCTCATACAGCACTTTTTCATTAATTAATTTGTCATTATATGATTGTTCCAAGCACCCTGATCCATTCCAAACAACAACATGCACCATGCCTCGATACAAGCAACAATCAAACGTACATTATAAATTTATTTTAAAAAGTACAGTTTTGTTATCCTTCTATTTACACAGTACATGTGTGTACAATGGATCCAATTATACAGCTTTATTAATGTACTCACAACAGACTAAAGCTGAAAAAAGGTCAAATGCTTTGATTTATAAATATTTAAATCCCGTTAGAAAACAAAAGCTTATATTATAAAAATTAATTTTTTTCATTAATTCATTTTGCATTGCACAGGCATTGTGTGGTGTTGTTATGTTTCAAGTACAAGCGACATTTCATTAGGAACAATCGCCAAAGCAGGGCTTCCCGAAAAAATTCCTTTATTACATGTTATAAACTTATAATCATTTAAAAATATTTATACAGATAAATCACATGCCATATGTACAATTAATTATATTTGTCTACTAAAAAAATTTAGGGTTATTCATTTGAGCAGGTTCAGACATATAGGGTACTATTTCTTGTAAAAGTATATATAGTGAATTTTTTATAGGTTGATGGAATATAGTTACAAGACTGGATCTCTGCAGAAAATAAACTGGTAGCAATTGAGGTATGGTTTTCATTGTTGTATACTGCCCGGTTAAGAAAATAAGAACAGAATTACTTACCTTTTTTATTTCCTAAATATTATTGAAATAATAGTGCATTGAATAACGGAATAAACTAAAATTATTACAATTATAAACGCATTACCTTTAGAAATATACTGATTGTTTCAACATAAAAATGGTCACTATTGAAGGTAAAAACAACCAAGAAAGTAATAAAGTAAAAAAAAAAAAAACAGGTAAAAGCCATTTTATTTAATATGTAAATGAATAGATTAAACTAAAAATAAGGAAAATATTTATTTAAAATTAAAGAAAACTGAATTTTATGACATTTCTCTTCCCCTCCTGGAGTAAAAAAAATAGGGAAGTAGATGACAATATTTATGAAGCAGCAGCCATTTGTTTAAGTTAATTTTCATGGTAAATAAATATATTTAATTTTTAAAACAGCACTAATAATTATAGCTTAGTCAAGTCTGCAATATTATGTGACAGAAGTAATAGTTATTTTCAATATTCATTATTAATTAAATAATATCATTGTTGGAAGCCCATAAGTAAGACCGATGGTTGTATTTGCAAAGAAAACACAAGATATGATAGAGGGACAGCAAGAAGGCACTTTTTGATCTTAAGCAAAATATTAATTTGTAAATATTTATTTCATGTAAATCATATTTTTTACACTTAGGCCACTGAATGCTGATAACCTAAGTGGTAGCCCACCATTCCTACCCTAGTTTACAAACTATAAAGAAAACAGTTTTAAAACGTTAAATAAAAATTTTCAATGATGATTACAGAATCAGAATAATTGAATTGTTTCAGCCTGAAAATTAAAAATGGAGTTGTTAATCACATTAAATAAAAAGAGTACATTTATTGCATTAATTTAGTTGTGATAAAAAACAGAGAATTAGTTGCCTATATATTTATTTTTTTGTATTAATTCATCATTGTTATTCTAAGGGTACTTAGTCCCAGAATGAAGTGCAATTTTCTATTCTATTCTATTGTTTTTAATCAACTAAATTATGATTAAGTTTTTTTTTTGTTAGGACCCAGAAGTTTTAATAATACTAAGTTCATAATAAATTGCTTAAAACTCAATTGGCTTTAAAATGAAAAGGTATTCTATTGTTCTGTAGTTTTTCAATTTGATCTAAATCTCCCTTGACAGTCTAGAAAAATGTTATATAAATCAGATAAACTATACAGCTATAAAAAAACATGTGTTCTAACCAGAATATTTCTTATTTCCCAAATAATACTGAATTATATGAAAATTAACCATCTTTTTGGGTGTGGACTGAGATTAATTATTTGACTATTTAGACATGTGTTGCAGGAACTTCAGAATTTTAACTATTTGGGTAAGGTCCAAATCAAATTCTTAACATTATGAGGACAATGTATTTACAATTTGAACTTAAAGCAGTTATGTTTTGAAAATGACATTTAGGAGTTATTGAGTTAGGCTGGGCACCAATAGAACTCATTACACCATCTACTATTGCTTCTTTATCAAAACTAAGACAATATAAAAAATACCTACAGAAACATTTGCCAAGATTTTCGATAAAATACCATTTATATACAATACCTTTTAGAACTGATCATTCATTTTTTCTTTACCTCAATAAGTAACTTGAATCTTGAACAAAGATCTATAATAAAAAGTTATTTTAAAGGATTTTATTCATTTTTACAAAGGAACTATAAAACAAAAATAGGAGAAGGAAAATTATGTGATAGGATTTTATTTCCATACAATAGGGATGGTTAAGCATAAGAATGAGAGCCACAATCCAGTTTTTCATGCAATATTTGTCAAGAACCACACCATATTTAAATATTAAAGAATATACAATTTAAAATTAATGTGTTTAAGTAGCTTACAAAGTTGTATATATTTTTAATACTGTATGTACATTATTTAGATAGACCACTATTGTCTT